CAGAGCCAGCGCTCAGGAGACCCCCGCGCCCGTCCCTGGCAGCTGTCACAGACCATAGGCCCTGGCAGAGCAAGAGACGTGCCGGACTAGGAGCCGGGAGCCAAGCACATCGAGCCCTGTGCGTCCTCCTCGGACCTCGGACCTCGAACCTTGCTCTGTGTCCCGCTGGGCCCTGCTAGAGGCCAAGGGTCAAGGCTGAGGGTCAAGGCCAGCAGTAGGCGAGCACATGGCCTCGCAGCCGGGACGCGGCTTGGCAGGTGCTCAGAGCGGCCTGCAGAGGCCAGCAGCCTCCGGGGACGCACCAGGCGCCACCTTGTCACCGGCGCACAGAGAGGAAGAGCCGCCTCCTCTCCTATTCACGTCTCTCTCTCTCTCTCTCTCTCTCTCTCTTTTTCAAAAATACATTTTATTGATTTTTCACAGAGAGGAAGGGAGAGAGATAGAGAGCTAGAAACATCGATGAGAGAGAAACGTCCATCAGCTGCCTCCTGCACACCCCCCACTGGGGATGTGCTGCAACCAAGGTCCATGCCCTTGACCGGAATCGAACCTGGGACCTTTCAGTCTGCAGGCCGACGCTCTATCCACTGAGCCACACTGGTTTCGGCTCTCTCTTTCTTAAGGAGAACACGCACTCGGGGTCACGGGTGCCAGACAGGCCTGGGACCGCGCCGGGGTCTGCCACCTCCTCCAGGCCCCAGACTCTGCCTCGCCCTCCCCAGTCCCGGGCTGTGTCCTTCGGGGGCGAGGATATGACGATGGCGGGGTCTTGGCTGTGGAGACTGAGCCGGACGCTCCGGCGGGGTTTGACGGTTACACAGAAGGCGTTCCCCTCATGACCGGCTTCGTCCCCGAGCCCTGGCTCCGGCCAGTTTCTGAGCCAAGTGACAGCCAAACAAAGAGGCATGAGCCCCCCCCCCCCCCCCTCTGTTCCCCCGGCCACGCCCACGGGTGGCCTCGGGGCTGCAGGTTTCAGAGTGAATACCATCCACAGAGCATCCTTCAGGCCGAACCCTGGCTCCTCTGCCTCTGGCCACAGTAGCCACACACCTGGTTCTGCGTGGTGGGTTGGGTGGTGGATTGAGTGGCGGGTCACGTGGCGGGTTGTGTGGCGGCCGCTGGTTCTGTGTCATCCCACACGGCGTGTGCACACTGACCGCAGGGCCGAGGCTTTGGTAATAAACTGCCTTCTCCTCCCGAGGGTGAGACGAGCCGCCACCAGGGCTGGGTTTACGGCTTTTGGGGCTCGACCCCCCCCCCCGGCTCCCCCCTCCCCGCTCGGGGCAGTGAAAACGCACACTGGCCTGAACTGACTGCCCCCGAGCCCCAGACTCCACCCCTCCTGTGCAGGGCGGGGTGGGGGGCACCTGGGCAGGTGGACGGAGCCCACGGGTCCTCCGGCCAAGTTCACGGCCCCCGGGGACAGCACATGCTGTTTCCTTCCTGTTACGCTCGTTGGGGGCCCGGCTGGAGGAGCAGCAGGAGGAGCTGAGGGTGAGGTGAAGGCTCCTCGGTGCCCCCCCCGCGTCCCCCTGTCCCTGAGGAGGCCGGGGTCCCGTGTCCTCTGCTCAGGCGCCTGGACAGGCACACGGTGAACAGGCTCGGGGCTGGGCACACAGCGGCCACCCCTGACGCCCGCGAACACCCGGCCGCCACAGCGGGTGCCCAGGAGGCCCTGTGCTCAGGCCCGGGGGACCCCACCAGGTGTCGGGGAGGCGGGGCTCAGGGGTTGAGCGTGGACCTGCGAGCCAGGAGGTCAGGGCACAGGCCCGGGTGTGGGCTCGATCCCCAGAGTGGGGCGTGCAGGAGGCAGCCGGTCCATGATCCTCTCTCGTCACTGATGTTTCTATCTTTCTCCCTCGCCCTTCCCCTCTGACATCAATACAAATATATTTTATAAAACAATAAAAGAGAAAGGCCATGCTGGTCTGGGTGAGCTGGCTGACAAGGAGGCTCTGCCTCACCGACTCCTGTGGCTGCCTTCCCAGCTGTGCTCACGCCCTGTGTGTGTGTGTGTGTGTGTGTGTGTGTGTGTGCAGCCTCCCCCCGCCGCCCCCCACCCCTGTTATCCCCGCCTGTGGTCCTGCCCAGCTCCCTGCCGGCCCCGGGGGGGGGGGCACCGCCTCCTGCAGGGCTGCCTCCAGCTCCAGGGAGAGGACCCCTCCCTGCACGCAGCCTCCGCTCAGCTCCGCCTGCTAAGCAAACAATGATGGCAGCCCGGCGCCCCGCAGCGGCCCAGAGGCCAGATGGCGAGCCGGCGCGCTCGCACCGTGAGCCCGGGTTTGCCCACGTGCAGCCCGGCCAGCTGGCAGGCGAGCCTGTGTGAGGAGGGACAGGGAGCGGGAGGGGAGGGGCTGGGGATCCCACAGGGAGAGCTCCCCCAGGCCCAGCCCGGGCAGCCCTCCGGCTCCCGCGGTGGGCGGTCAGGAGCCGCCTCAAGGTCACGGGCAGTGCCTGGGGGGACGGGGTGGGGGGGGAGGACAGCTGGGCTTAAGGTCGTGGTTACACAGCGTCTGGCCCTCTCAGGCCGTCACACAGGGGGGCAGCCGAGGGGCCTGGGAGCTCAGGCCCCCGCCCCCCATGCCCTCCCCCTCCCCTGGGACAGAGGCACCCACGTCTCTCCCGCTGGGAGTCACAGAACAAGAGCACCTCCAACGCTCCTGCCTGAGGTCAGAGGCCACTGGGGTCACCCGTGTGGCGCGTAGTAGGCCATCCGCCACAGCTGGCATTGGACCGAGAGGCTGGTGGTGCGCTGAGGGGAGCGCAGACGGCGGCATGTGCACGCTCCCCCGCCCGCCGCCGCGTGCTCCCAGCAGCACGGAGCGTGCAGGTGAAACCACGCACGTGCTCCGACTCACTCCCACGTCCACAGACGCAGGCACTCCGCCGGCTCCATGTTCCCGTGTTCCCGAGCGTGTGTGTGTGGGGGGGGGGGGGCGGAGGGGAGACAGACCTCCCAGCTGGAGGGGGGGGCACTGCTCTGGGTCTCCCGGCGCCCGGAGGGCAGCGGCCATTGGCAGGGGTGACGGGCACGGCTCAGGGTGCCCACCCTGGGGCGCCCTCCGGTCGAACCCCCGTGGGATCAGGAACGTGAGATTCCTGGGCTCGGACGCCCCAGGCAGCTCCCCCATTCCCAGCACCAGCCCCGCCCACAACCCCTGCCAGGGCCTCGGGGTCACTGGCCCGGCCCTGACCCGGCCCCCTGGAGGGGACAGCGCAGCGGGCCCTGGAGCTGTGGCCGAGGCGGGTACGCTGACCGCTCCCCGGACTTGACATCCTGCACCGGCTCAGCCCCTCTGCCCTAAAAGCCCACAGAGCCAGGCAGCCCCCTCGCCACCCCCCCCCCCGCGGGTGGGAGGCCCTGGCTGGCGGCCGGGACACAGGGAGGGACACAGGGAGGGACACAGGGAGGGACTCGGCTCCCTGAGAGGCCGGCTGGGCTCAGGAAGGACCTCAGAGGAGAGCACGCCTCTGGGCCCAGGGGCGGCACCGGGAGCTGACCAGGGTCCTGAGGGACCTTAGGCCGCAGGGTGAGGGTGCAGGGGGGTGTGGGGGTTGGGGGCGCTGGCTGAGATGCAGAGGCGGCACCCCCTTCGCATGGCTGGGCAGACACCTGCACCACAGAGATGAAGTTTCCGACTGAAGTTGAACCAAAACTTCTCCCCAAGAACAGGGACATGGTCGGGGCGCGCAGGCCCAGGGACCCCCAAGTCAGGAGCCCCAAAGGCTTGGGGGGCCTGGGGCAGCCATTCCCAGGGCCCGGGGGCCGGCCCTCATGCCCCTCCATGTCTATACAGCACATGCCTGCATGCTCCTGCCCGTGCGTGTGTGTCTGTGTGTGTGTGAGTCGCGTGCACATGTGTCCCTGTCGGTCCACACGTGCACCTGTCCGTGCACAGTAGACAGCCACCCCCCTCCCGCCTCCCAGGACTTCCTGCCACCAGGCTGCTCTCGGGGACACCCAGGGGAGCCTCTCTGGGGACCCGGCGCTGTCGGGGCCTCTGGGGGCCAGAGGAGCAGCAACCCTCTCCCCCCCCCCCCCGTGCGGGGCGGAGGCCGTACCTGCCAGGCAGAGGGGGGGGAGAGGAATTGGGGGGGCCGGTGGAGACTTCAGGCAAAAACCTGGGGGTGCTCCAAGCCTCTGCCTGCAGCCCCCTCCCGCCTCCGCCCTCCTTTGTTTCCTCTTTTGTTCTGAAGGAAGGTGAGCAGGAGGGAGGGGAGGGAGGGGAGCAGGGAGGGGGCAGTGGGAGCTGGGGGCCACAGTGCCAGCGCCGCCCGTCCTCCCCCCCCCTCCTGGATTGCTGCTCCTCAGGCGGCCCCTCAGCGCAGAGCGTGGCACAGGGGCCCGTCCAAAGGGCATTTTAATGTCACCGCCGAGCAGCCGGCTCGGTCCCCGTGGTGTGAGCAGCTCTGGCACCCGGTGCCAGAGCGGCCCTGCCGGCAGCTCCCGCCGCCACCGCCGCCGGCGCCCAGACCTCGGCGCCCAGCAGCAGCTGTAAGATGGAGAACCGGCCAGGCTCCGTGCCGGCCCTCCACACCGAGCCCCCGGGCACCCAGCGGGCACCAGCCCAGCCACGCTGCCCGCCCTCCCCGGTCTGGTCTCAGAGGCAGGGTCACCGGCGGCCGGGCAGCCCGGGCGGCGTGCCCACAGGCAGAGGCTCGGCAGCGGGCGGTGGGAGCGAGCTCAGCGCTGCCTCCGGGGGCTCGGACACCCCGCACGGCCCCCCACAGGGCCCAGCCCCGCCGCCTCCTGCTGCCCTCTGAACTTCCCAGCAGGGAGGGGTCCCCACAGCCCCGCGGGGCCCGGCCTCGGGGTTCTGGGGAGTGGGACCCGTCTCTGTGGGCCTGGCCCCTCCCTCCGCCCCAAGTGCGGCCGCGGGCACCCGGGTCCTCCCCGGCGCGGGGCGGGGCGCGGGCAGGGCGCCGGCCGGGGCTGCCCGGCTCTCGGAGGGGGATGGCGGGTGCCCCCGGCTCCGCGGAGGGGATGGCGGTGCACGTACTTGGGAGAGCTCGGTGCCCATCAGGAGGAGGAAGAGCAGGCTCAGGAGCTTCCGGGCCGGTTGCATGTCTCGCCGCCACCCCCAGCGCCCTGGCATGGGAGCCCGTGCTCGTGGACGCGGCCGCGCTCCCGGCTGCTGGCTGCCGCTCGGTGCCGGTGTCCCGCGCCTTCAGCACCCGGAGCCGGCGGCGCGCGGGGCGTGCGGTGCGGGGCGGCCGCTCTGCATATCGATCGCTCGGCCCGCGGGGCGGGCGGCGGGCGGGGCGGCTCTCCGGCCCCTCCTCCCGGCTCAGCGCGGGCTGGGAGGCGCTGGGTGGCGGCGGTGCCAGAAGTTTGGGGGAAGGGGCGGGTGGGGCGGGGGCCGAGGGACCGGCGGGCCCGGCCCAGGGCGCGGGGCGAGGCCGGGTGCCGAGCGGACAGGATGTGACATCACCAGGCGGGGGATTTAACTGGACCGGGCTCCAGCAGCCGGGCTGGACCAGGCGGGATGCCGGGAGTGGACCGCGGTTGGGGGACCTTGGGGTGGGGTGGGGGGGACAGAAGAGCAGGCCTTGCCCGCGGGCCGCCCCGCTGAGAGCTGCCGAGGCTCGGACCCAGGCCAGCTGCAGGTGGGCGGTGGGCAGGTGGGTGGTGGGTGGGTGCGCCCACAGGCCTCTCTCCTGCTCTGGGTGGGGCTTGGGTCCCCTTCAGGGTGTGGGTGAGGGTGCGCGCTGTGTCCTGGTTGGGTGTGAGCACATGGGGGTGGGGGCGCGGTACTGAGGGTCCCTGTGGGTCCCTGTGGGTCCCTGTGGGTCCCTGTGGGTGTGTGTCGATGGGACAGGACACAGCTCTGCCTCCCCGAGAAGCCTGGCCCGAGCCCCTGAGGCCCGCCCTCTCCCTGCCAGGCCTGGGCCACCATGGCTGTGGGCACAGCCTCCTGATCGCCTCCCTTCCCCCTCCCCTCTTCTCCCCTCCCTTCTCCTCCCCTCCCCTCTCCTCCCCTTCCCCGTCCCTTTCTCCTCCCTCCGCCCCCCAGTCCCTCCACCACGGGAGCTGGTCCTGGGACCACTCTCTCCACATAGCCCTCCATCCGGGGGGAACCTTTACTGCCGTGAGGGGGAGCTGGCAGTGGAGGCCCAGCCCCAGCACAGAAGCACAGTGTGGGCGCTCTGGCCCGGGTCCTCGGTCACAGGAGGGAGGAGGCTCAGAGGGCCACCCAGGGGCTCCAGAGCGAGGCCCAGATGCCAGCCAACTCCTGCCATCGTGCCACCCGGTCACTGTGCCACCCCATCACCATGACACCCGGTCACCATGACACCCCGTCACCGTGCCACCCCGTCACCGTGCCACCCGGTCACCGTGCCACCGGTCACCATGACACCCGGTCACCGTGCCACCCTGTCACCATATCACCCAGTTATCGTGCCACCAGGTCACCGTGCCACCCCGTCACCGTGCCACCCGGTCACCGTGCCACCCGGTCATCATGCTACCCGGTCACCGTGCCACCGGTCACCATGCTACCCGGTCACCGTGCCACCTGGTCACCATGCCACTGGGTCCTGGAGGAGGCCCCTCTGGGCACTGGGTGAAGGAGCTGGGATGGGGACCTCTAGAGAGCAGGTGTGGGGGCTGCCACGCCCCCTCTCAAGGGCTCTGCCAGGGGAGCTCTGTTCCCTGCCACTTCCTGGTGGGGAGCCGCGGTGGGGCCCGGGGCTGAGCCGGGCTGGGCACAGAGCCGGGCTGTGGGGTCTTGTTCTCCGGTCTGGGCCCAGCGCTCAGGCTCGCTCCACAACCAGAGAGAGCCAGTGGGGGCCGGAGGGGGGCCCACAGGGATGGGGGCCCGCAGGGACGGGGGGCCCCCAGGGACAGGGGTGGGGGGCTGGGGGTGGGGGGGTTGGAGCCCACAGGGACGGGGGGCCTGCAGGGAGGGGTGCCTGCAGGGACAGGGGTGGGGGGATGGAGGTGGGGGTTGGAGCCCACAGGGACGGGGGGCCTGCAGGGAGGGGGTCCCGCAGGGACAGGGGTGGGAGGTTGGGGGGTGGGGGGGTTGGAGCCCGCAGGGAGGGGGTCCCGCAGGGACAGGGGTGGAAGGTTGGGGGGTGGGGGGGTTGGAGCCCGCAGGGAGGGGGGGCCCGCAGGGACTGGGGGCCCGCAGGGACGGGGGAGCCTGCAGGGACGGGGGAGCCCGCAGGGGCGGGGCGGGGTGAGGGGAGCCAACGCCGGGAGCTGCGGGCTGCGCGCCCGCCCGTCTGCTCCCGGGAATGTGATCACCCACCGAGCCGCTCCCTTAAGCGGGTAAGGTGTCACAGCTCGGCAATCTGTGAGCACAGGGAGGGAATGACAGCGCAGGCTCCCCCACACTGAGGCCGCACGTCCGTCTGACGGCGGATTGTGGGGAGTGAGTTGCATCTTCATAAGCTGTGGGTTATTGTTGTTTTGATGGCAAGACTCGTTGTATTGCTTACATTTTTTTTTTTAAATTGATTTCAGACAGGAAGAAAGAGGGAGAGATAGAAACAGGAATGATGAGAGAATAACTGATCGCTGCCTCCTGCACGCCCCACGCTGGGGATGGAGCCCGCAACCCAGGCCTGTGCCCCGACCGGGAATCGAACCCTGACCTCCCGGTTCACAGGTCAGCGCTCAGCCCCCGAGCCCCGCCGACCGGGCTCGTGGTGGTTTGAAAACACAGTGTGGAGCCTGACGCCGCAGCGAGACCAGAACTGCCCGCCCGGCAATGCCCGGCGCCGCGCGGCTGGCATTTCCCCAGCGGGTGCGGAGGGCGAGCGGGCGGCCGGTCCTCCGAGCCCCGGCCTCCCGGTGACCTGCGACCCTGGCGCGCCAGCCCCCTGCCCCGCCTGCGCCTCCGGCAAGTGGGGCCGCCGGCGAGGGCAGCTCCCCTGGCAGCCCGGGGCGGTGAGCCCGCCGTGCCCGGAGCCTCAGGGGCATTGCGGCTGGGAAGTCCTGGGCTGCGCCGAACGGCCCGGAGGATGGGAACGGAGGCCGGGCCCCTGTGCCCATGCCGGCCACGTGCCGGCCAGAGAGACGGTGTTCCGTGCCCCTTCCCCTGCCCCCCTTCCCGCCTCTGCATGTCTGGTGTCCCAGGGTCTGTGATGCTGGTTCTGCCCCGCTACCCCCTGCACCCCAAGTCACTGGTCCTGGGGGTCCGCCAGCAGGCTCCCGGGGGCCTGGCTTCCAGTCGGCCCTTTGGGCTGCCTGACGTCCAGGCACAAGGTGCCCACAGCCAGGGCCAGGCCACGGCTCTCTGCCACCGACTGGTCAGACTCCTGCTTTCCGTCCCAGCGGCCGGCTTTCCCATCTGGGAGCCGTGGAGCCCCTCAGCGTGGCGGCTCCGTGGGGAGGTGGGCGCGGGGCCTGGGCCTGAGGGTTCGGACCGTCGGGGCAGCAGCCCTGAGCCCCCTGAGCTGTGCTGTGACGAGGCCCGGTGGGTACAGAGCCATTGGGTTCCGCTCTGCTCACCAGCTGGCACATGGGGTCCCAGGGCCCACCCCCTCCTGCTGTCCTCCTGGGAGGACCGTCCCGCTGGCTTCGGGAGCGGCCACGGGCGGGCTCCGCGCTGCTTTAAGAGCCTCCTTTCCCCACCAGCCTCATTATAACGTGACAGAGCGGTTGCCAAGGTAACGGCACTCACCCTCCTCTCTCCTCTCTGCAAATTCCTAGCAAATGAGGCCGGAGCCACGCGGGGTGTCCTGTGGTGGCCCGAGCGCCCCTCCAAGGCCCGGCCCGGCCCTCCCTTCCCCACCTCCCCGCCCCACGGCTCCCGAGAAACCGAGGCTCCTGAGCTGGGCACGCACTGTGCCAAGGCCCCACCTGCACAAGCAGCACACGCTGGGAATGAGGAAGCCACGAGCCCCGGCGATGGTGGGCGTGGCACAGGCGTAGGAGCGCAGAGTGAGCCTGGACCCCGGAGTGGCCAGCGGGACACGGGACAGGGGCCTGCCCCCTGCTGTGACCAGGCAGCCTGAGACCCCGGCCGCCATGACCCCGAGTCCCAGGCAGAGACAGGGCTGAAAGGCAGGGTCCCCAGCTCCCGGTCCCCCCTCTGGGTCAGAACTCACCAGGCCCAAGTCCAGGAAGCAGTGCCCACGGGGTCCTGGGAGCCGCTGTCCGGCAGAAGGAGGCCGGGGCCTCAGGGCAGGGGCTGTCCCCATGTCCCCCGTGTTCCCCTGGCACGTTCCTGCCTCTGGGGTTCCACCTGCCATGTCCACACCAGGAGACGGCTTTCCGAACACGCGGGCAGGATGGCACCTCCGGGGGCAGACGCACCAGAGCCCTCTGCCCGCTTCTGGTGGCCGTCGCGTGCTGTCCACCGCGTCCGGTCAGCAACCCTTCCTGCACCCTCCTCGGCGTCCGCTGCGTGGCCAGTGTGCGCTGTGTTCGTCTCCCCATCTTCTCCTCTCCGGATCGATCCAGCACCTGGCCTGACTGCAGAGCCGCCCGCCGGTGCCCACGGGCCACACCCTCTTTCCAGCGGGGCCCAGGGAGCTACCGCACAGCCACCCTCCCCCTCCGAGCAGGAGCCCCGCCCGCCTCTGCCTCGAGGCGCAGAGGTCCGCTCCAAAAGGCCGTGGTCGGCAAACTGTGGCTCGCAAGCCACGTGCGGCTCTTTGGCCCTTTGGGTGTGGCTCTTCCATAAAATACCACGGCCTGGGGGAGTCTATTTTTTTCATTTTTTTATTAAGGTATTATGTGTGTACATATCTTACGATTGCCCCCCCCCACTCCCATACATGCCCTCCCTCCCCAGAGTTTTGCGTCCTTTGGTTACGCTTACATGCATGCATACAAGTCCTTCGGTTGATCTCTTGCGAGTCTATTTTGAAGAAGTGGCGTTAGAAGACGTTTAAGTTGAAAAATTTCAAAAGCAGTTTCAATCCTTGCGCTGTTGATGTTCGGCTCTGTGGACTGATGGGTTAGCCGGCCGCTGCTCTAAGGCCATCTTGGGGAGACAGGGCGCCCCCATGGCCTGCGTCATGTTGCGATCATGGACTCTCCTTTATTCTGTTACAGTAAAATACAGGAAAGGATTTTCAAGCATCAAACTGTCCTTGCTCTCTGGCAGAC